TCTGATGCAGTGAATCAAAAGATTGTAGTTGATATCATTTATCATGAATGAAGTGAGAAACCCTAGCAACTGATTTGATTGCTGCTAAATCACAGACGCACAAGGGACACTTGATTGTTAAAAAGTGGGAAAAATTCTTACATTTGGTAATGCAATTGAAACTAATTCTTCATTCTACAAATAATGAAATAGCACTCATTAAGTATGTGCCCAAGAGACAGAGACAAGGAACAGTCCTCATGTTTAAGGAGCTTGCATTAGAGCAGACAGATTTCCCTTTGTCATCCACAGTACATAGTAGAAGTCTTGCATGTAGCTGTCCAAAGTTAATTCATTCAGCAAATAGGTATCGTGTGCCTGCTGTGTGCCAATGTGGTTGACATGATGTCACACCAGCAGCTGGTTAAAGGGTGCTTCTTGGGAATTGCAAAGATGTCCATCCTTTTCCTTAGTTACTCCAAATTGAAACTGAAAATTGCCTTGCATTTTTCCAGTGTGTAAATATATAATGCTTCCTTATTAGAGAAAGGAATTAAATTCATTGGACTTCGCATGGCAATGCAATTTGGTTTTCATAAGGGAAATTGTTCTGTATTGAGAGATTTTATTTTTTTATTAACTAGAATTTTCTAAATCATGTTTCTTAAGGAATCTTTCGATCTTAATTTTAGTGTATCTTACAAATATTACAGTAATAGTAAATCAAGCAAAATTTTAAAGCAAGAAGAATTAGCCTCAAGCTTAACCAACTTTTTGCTTTGTATCTTTGTTTCAGATAGTTTGGTGTTTTAGACCAGTGGTTCACAAGTGAAGGTCATTTGCCATCCTCACCCGGGGACATTCGGCAGTGTTAGGAGACCTTTTTGACTGTCCCCACTGACTGAGGAATCAGTGGGTAGAGACCAGGGATGCTGCTAACATTCCTGCCATGCAAAGGACATCCCCTAATACAAAGCATCACTGAGACTGAGAAATTTTAGATAGCATGTTTTGTAGTGCATAGTGGAAAGCATATGAACATTATACATAGCATGTAAGACTAAAACGTGAGATTAAAATAGGCATTTTTTCCTTTTTTCTTTTTCTTTAATTTTTACTAAATGTGTTGGGGTGTCATTGGTTAACAGGCTCACATGGGTTTCAAGTGTACATTCCTACAATACTAGATCTGTACATTGCACTAGGTGCTCTCCACCTACAGTCACACTGTCTTCTCTCACCACATATTGGGCTTCAATACTGCCTATGTGCCCGAGATAGGAGTTTCAGATGTTTTGAAGCATAAGGCCCCAGTCCTCACATTGTAGATCACATTGTAGAATTAGAGATGATACATACTCTCATAGATCAAAAAGTTACAAGGTAATATGCTAATAACTCTATCACAGAGCTAAGCGGTATATATCCTTGTGTGGGTGAGTCAGAAAAGGCTTGACTGAGGAGGTGAAGATTGAGTAGCTCATAGAAGTTCTTGTTGAACTCGAACACTCAGGTACTAGTTGGGGAAGGACAGCCCAAACAAAGGCAACAGCAGGTGAAAAAGCCTGGCAGCTTGTTAAATGGTAGCCACTGTAAGTAGTTTGTTATGTTAAGATGAGGCTGGAGTTTAAGGCAGAGGCCTGATGTAGGAGGGCCTTGAAGCCAAGGAGTTGGGGATTTATCCTGAAGACGGGGATGTAATACAACTAATGCCCATTTTACAAAGACAGTCCTGGAGGAAAGTGGTGTGCAGGATGGAGATGGGAAGCCCTGTGGGAGAGGAGCTTATCTGACTCAGGAAGGTCTGAGACAATGCAGAAAGATCTGATTGTCAGAACTTGGTATCATGAATATCTTGAATAATATGGGAGGAGACAGCAGACTTAAAAAGAGAAAGGATGACTTCCACATTTCATCTTGGGGATTTCATGGTTGACGGAGCCAGTATTGAAGCAATATGGGAGGAGATAGAGCAGATTTGGAGAATGGGATATAGAAATGTTTTTAAATATGTTCTTTTTGAGGTATCTATGGGAAATACATCTTTTGCCCAGGAGCTTATTGAATACTTGTCTGATTATGATTATTAGGAATGACACAGAAGAAACATTGTGGCCTAGAAGTAAAGAATTCTATTTCTAAGTTTTCCAGTGGATGCTCATAAGGCCTCATTTTTTCATCTGTAATGTTTAGAGTGTGGTGATAGAAACATACCTCTTATGGGAGTTATAAGTGATATTGAGCTGAAGAATAAATAATTGAATATTATAAAGCATTGGAAAAAATTGTAGTAGTTAAACACTCTGGGGGCTATACAACCTTTTACTGAGACAAATGTTTATATACTAAAGTTAGATTCCTAAGATAATTCATTGTGATGACATTTGATTAACACTGGCTGAGTTCTCTTAGAGTGGTTTAGATAAAGCTTTTTGCTTTTTCTTTTAGATTTTTCATTACTCAAGTGTGATCTTTTTCCTAATTTTACATTAGAAGAAAAATTTTATCTTACTGTTTGTGACCAAACCTCTTGTACTAGTATTGTTTATACTTTCCCTATAAAAAAATAAGGAAGATACTACCCTAAAAATGTTCACTGAAAATGCATTAGCTAATAAACATGAAAGAAACAACTGTACTGTGTTTGCCATGATGGCGTTGTTTTAATGTTCTTCACTGAGGCTTCTCTGTCCATCAGTCCTGCAAGCAGGAAGCAGTATAAGGTTTCTTATAATTGTTATGATGAACACATTGTAAGATCTTTTCCCTTTAATCCATTTAGTACAGGATCTATTTAGTACTGGCCAGTGTCCCAGAATACCATCAAAGATAAGGCTATTATCCTTTCATTGAGCATTATCCTAGGAAAGCATTTATAAGATTGAACTCAGCTGCACCTGCTGACCTCCTTTTTGAAACAGGGGAAGGGCGGGGATGGAGATTATGTCCACTGAATTCAGATGGAGCTGGGTGTTTGACAGCCCGGAACAGTGCTTTAGTTAGGGCCTCCCATTGTGCAAATCGATTCCATCTCGGACTCTGAAAGAAATAAGTTGACAATTCAGATCAGGAAGTTGATGATCGCATTGGGTGCTTTGCAGTTATTGGCACAGTTGCTATTTTTTATCGTGCGTAGTTCTATAATAGGACTCCCAGCTATTTCAGGGATTAATCTGAAATGTTTGCTTGCCGTTGCTGTACATGGAATCAAGTGGCATTATCTTCACACATGAAAGACTACTTTCAGAAGAGTTAGAGTTTTAATATTTTGCTAACTTAAAAAAAGTCACTACAATGGAAAAGAACGCTCAGAAACAATTTCAAAAACTTAGTTTCCTATTAAGTCTTATCTGAAGAAGTTGAAGAAATTTGAAGAACAATGCCATGTAACTTTCAAGTCTCTCTTTAAAAACATTTTACATTGTTAAGTTCCTTGAGTTATCTTTATGTAAAATAGATGCTACATGTGTTTATGTAAGTATGCTATTATAGCCCAATATCGAAACTCTTGACAAGTTGGTTGCTGGTTTGGGAGCAGCATTCTTGAAATAAATGAAGGCTTTGTGGCTTTCTAAAATTTTCTTTGATTGATAGAACAAGATCTGAATGAAATAAAATCGCTTCTAATGGTGTTGTCCCAACAGAGCTTTTTTCTATATTCCGTTCTGGTTTCTTCTTACATCCTCACATGACATTTCTATAATTATTTCATTGTTAAAATCTGCCATTTTCATTTCACACTATATTTTAAACTTTTGCCATGGTGGTACATTATAAGTTCATAATTTATGTGATATAAATGGAAAGCTATCCTGTCTGTATTTAATAATAAAGTATTTGACCAAATTAGTAATCCGTTAGGAACATCAATTAATAAAATATAAGCAGTTTACCTGATATAAAGCTGTGGATCCTTAGCAAAATTAGATTATAGCTTAGGTTGCCTCAGTTAACAATATCTATTGTACAAAATTAACAAGTCAGTAAAACAAGGTTTATCAACAACTTGGAGGACTGCATTCATCCGAATTTTGTATGTTGTTCACATACATATTAGCTGTATAGTCAGAGAACAGATGGTCGCACCACCAATCTAGGACTGAATTTAAGCTGTTTGAAGCTATCTGAAAATTGAGGATCCTTTTATCAGTTTAGCAGTTTTATCAATTTGTTCAGTTTATTTAGTTAGCATTTCCTGCCTTTTAAATAAGAAAAAAAGTAATATCTGAATGCACGTGTGCTATGTGCAATAATTTTAAATATTCACTCCTAAGGAGCATAGAAAAGAGAGGTTGCATAGGGACTAGAGTATGAGTTTTGTGGCCAAAGAGATCTAGAGTTCAAGCTCACTGCTACTGCTGGGTAGCTCATTTACTTACCTCGTAGCCTCTGTTTCCTTCTTTATAAGTGGGTTTAATAATACATGCCTGCATTATAGAGTTTTGGTAAAAGATATAATAAATATTTATGAGATGAGCGGTAGAGACTTACCCTACCAGTAACTTCCTAAAAGTTCCCAGCATAATGGGAGGAGGGGACAGACCAGCTTGGGAATGGGCTGCTTGGCCTAATTCTCAGAAGTCATAGTGCTGGTGAAAACTTTTGGCTTTGTCAACAGGAGAATTTTGTCATGTTTCTTTTTCTTCAGTTCGGTTGTTTGGAGACATTCCTGGATGCAGTTTGGTCAGTTATGATTAAAGTTGATTCTTTAAAATAAACACACTGACACATAGCCTGATATATGACAGACGATCCCTTAATAAAGGTGGTTCTGGTACTTATGACCCTTAATAGTATTAATTAAAATTTGTACATAAGTTACTGCAGAAGAAATATTTTAAATGATGGAGGACTGGTACCATGGACCAAATCAGGTTCTTATTAATTCTATAATGTTCTAGAATGTTTGAAAGTTGCATATGCCTAGTTAATATTCACATACAAAATAAAATTAAAGTGCATTAATAAAGAGAATTTATTCACACTCTGCTAGCTAATGTGTATAACTTTTCTTTCAACAGGCTCAGCACTCTGTCGCTACAACCTAAAGATTTCTGAATACACATCTTCAAAAGCTTCTCCTCTTTGCCCCAAACTACCAGTTCCAGCGAGGTAAATGTTACTGTATATTGTTAACTTGTGAGTTTTGTTTTCGTGGGTAGATTTTAAACTGTACATGTTATTCTGAGAAAAGAGTCACTTGATGATACCAGTTGCCTATGTCCCGTACTTTCACATCAAAAATTGTAACGTAATAGTAGAAATGATAACATGTTATTTATACCTTTAAAAAATGCAGGCAAACAGCTTTTCTCATTATCGGGTTTTTAAATTTTCTTTTGGGGGCTCACTATATTTTTTGACATAATGTGTAAGTGTACAAAACTGCAGAATCAATATAAAATCTATAGTAAACTTACAAGCCAAGTCTCACAGTCTTTAAAGATTCTTAGAAGTCGATCCCAGTGATACTAATGGGGACATTTTTAAATTTACATGGCAAATTTAAAAAATATGCCGGTGATTATTCTCCATAGTTTATTGTAGGTTATGTCCTTCAGGTCCATTCTCTGTAATAGGTCATTTACATATGTTACCCAGGGTCTCATTCAACACACATTTATTACTAAGTACCTACGGCATGTAATGGGTACAAGAATGAGGAAAAATCTCATGGTAGTTATAAGGAAAGCAAATTTTAAAATTATAAAGTGATTTTTAAGAAAGGAAACAAATTTTCAAGCACATCTTCAGACTTCGGTTTATAGGATTTAGAGCATGTCTGATCTCAGGAACCTTAGCGTGCACCTCTAACCCAGGTACGACATGAGTCAGCGTTTCCGGGAATACTGACTTGAACTACTTTTATTGCATCTCAGTATATTATAGAAAGCTGTTGGTCAAAAATTTGAGACTCGTGTCTGCTTTCCTTTGGATTACTTATGGGTGTAACTTGTGCTGTATTAACTTGAATTTGAAATTTTCTGTTGAAAAGTAGACAAAGGATAGAGCAGCTACATTGGTTTCAGCTTTTATTATTGTCAAGCTGCCATTGGCGTTATAATGTAAAGTCTTTGGGACATAAAAATTAAGGAAATACTTTAAATGATACTAAGTAAAAGGGATCTACAAATTATGGGCTTAGACTGATAGGTAAGGAGACTCCAGTTGTGAAAATTGAGAACATTAGGGAGGCTGTGACAAGAGAGAGAAAGAGGTCATTTGAATAGAGTCAGTCACTGGAGAAAATTTGTCAATGTAGAAAGAAGAAAAGCTATGTCCTCCTGAATTGCTAAATTATGTTTTAAATGCATATTTTTTAGTACAGTCACTATTTGAAGGCATACACCTATTATAAAAGCATAACCCCAAAGCTTTGGGAATAAGGTTGCTTTGCTCCTGTATAACATGGGTGGGAGCCCAGGGCAGCTCATATTGCAAACCATGCTCCTCCTCTCACCTCTGATTCTATCTCATTGAGAACTGCCCGTTACTGATTATTTGGTGTGTTTTAGTCTTGGCTGCACATACACGCACATTTCACACACAGCATCCTCAGGGTCCTCACCAAACGGCGAAGCGTAGTATTAGGGGCTTGGAGTGTAGAGATGGACAGACTTGGCTTCTAACAAGGTTATCCACCAATGTGTCAGTAACCCAGGATGCAGTGCCAAAACTGTACCATCTGAAAACTGAGTATATGCAATGTTTGTACCTTAAAGATCCTTACAATCTAAGTGTCTTACCACTTCCATCTTAACTCAGGCTGTTGGAAAATGAAGAAAGAGTTGATAGGAGGAAGGCAGATTTGGACCCTGTAAATAGCATCATTTAGCATTTGGCATGCAAAATGAAAGGATCAGAAGTCAGAATAAATTTGTTCTAATAAAAAACTCAGAACGCTCCCTTGTTTCATACTAGCATTAGATACCAAATCTAAAACGATGACTAAAATCTAGTGTGTCCCTAAGAAACTCGGTCCTTAAAAAAATTAGGGACTATCTTTATATGTGACTTTTTTTTAAATGTGTCCAAAACACCAGCACTAGGCAAACTTGTGACGAAGGCAAATGGCAGCATCTTTCATGTCTCTTTTGCCATCCTCCTAGGAGTACCCTAGTAGGACAGAAAGAGCTGAACTCTGAGCCCAGATAGGCCTGGATGGGAGTTCTGTGTCACTGCTTTCTATTTGTCAGCTTGAGCAACTCTCTTAATCTCTCTGTAAACCAAGTTTCCTCGTATATGAAACAGGAATTTACTACTTCTGTCATGGGATTGTAAAAGTTAAATAAGGTAATATGTGTCACACATCCATTATTGTGCTTGGTTTTTGACTTGAGAGTAGTATGCCTTTCAATCTTGAGCTTCCCCCTCTTTTCCCCAACCTTGCTGGGCACCCAGGCACCTTCTGCAGCTGAAGGCAGTGCCTGTTTTAGGGAAAGGCAATCATAAATTAATTTTCAGGAAAAAACTAGTCCCATGTAATTGCCAAATGGTTGTGATTCCAAAGAGCTTTTGAATTTAAAAACAAATACCTAGAAAGAGCCATATTTACCCAAATTCATAATACTGTATTGGTGACATGCTAAGTGTGGTAGCAACAGGGAGACTAGCTAGTCTATATTCTTACACTGCTTAAAGGTTTAAGCATAGCTAGAGAAAATTGTGGCATTGGAGCTAGATTACATAAATTCAGCTTATGTAATCAGTATTCATCAAACATTGATTGTGGTATTTCTGGATGTCAGAAAGGATGCTGGATGTTGGGGAATTAATAACATAATATAGAAATGAGAGACTAACAGCCAAGAAAAAAATTGTTGTCTATTTTGATTGTTAAATGAAGGCTTCAAGGTAAATTAACATTTATAAATTACCTACTGTGTGCCAGCTACCATAGTAAGCTTCTCATATGTATTATCTCATTTAGCCCTCACAAAAGCCTATTAAAGATATTGTCCTAATTTATAGATGAGGACATAGAAGGTAAGAGAGATTAAATGAGTTATTCAAGAGCACACAGCTCATTGTTGGGAATCAGAATTGGAATCTAAGTTCTTGTAAAATCTGTAATACAGTTGGGTTTTTTTTAAGAGAAAGAAAGTACAGTAATTAAAGAAGAGAAAAAATTAAGTAAAATGTATGAAAATCATTGCATATTACCATCAGATTCTTGACTTACTTTTTTCCTGTCTTCTCTGTGCTATGGAGATATTGCTAGAATCCTTTGTTGTTGTTCTTTCTGAAATAAAACTTTTAATTAGAAATCATGTGTAATTGCTTATTTAGAACCTGAAGAGTTTTCTAAATTGAGTTGACATTGGTTTATAATGTTATAAGGTTTCAAGTATGCAGCATTATAATTCAACATCTGTATCTACTATGTCACGCTCACCACCAAAAGCCTAGTTTCCATCTGTCACTGTGTAATTCACCCCCTTCACTCATTTCACCCTCCCTCCACTGGTCACCAGTGACCTGTTGTCTGTCTCTATGAGTTACTGCTCTTGTTTTTCGTTTTATAATCTGAAGTTCTAAAATAATTATGTGTGGTGCCAACTCCTGTCTTCTCTTATAAAGGCATATGGATAATAGATACTAGGCACTGTTGGTCCCCATACTTTGAGGGGGCTCATTAATTGTGATAGTCTGGATTTAAAGGCAAATGGACAGTATGTTTTCCAACGAGCGGCTAATTTAAAAAGAAAAGTCTTTAAAAGACTCGTTATAAATTCATTTTGTTCCTGTTGACTAGTGTTTCGATCACATGAAACAGCATCAGTTCCTGATGGAACAGCATTGACTTCTTAAAGATTCAATGCTCTGTGGGCTTCAAAAAGTAACAAAACTTATAAATAGAATTCTTCATGCTTGTCTGCTCAGTGAAGAAGCACAGGCTGCGTCATGTAGGTTAGCCACTGTAGTAGAAATCTCGTATACTAGGCTCTCAGAACTATCATTTTCTGAAAGGTATATGAAATCAGCTAACTCATCTTATATTCATTATATCATGGGATTTAAATGATAAAATATAAGACACTGTATTAATGCCATGATTACTTAGACATTTTAGTAAGAAAATAATTCAAGCATTAACTAATGGGTGGTTAAATTTTTGGGGGGTAAGAGCTGAGAAAAAGAATGAGATATAAAGGGAATCTAGTACTTTTTACTTAAAAGCTAAGTATTTAATTTTATTTCTTACTACTGTGTCCAAAGATTATCTTTTGCCTTCTATTTTTGTTATTCTGTACCAGTAAGAGCATATTTTGATCATTTTGGTCATCAGTTAAAAAAACGTAGCTAATCAACTTGTGCTAATTTTATAACCTTCAAATTTAGGGTATTCAGGTTTTTTTTTTTCCTTTTTAACAGACACAGATTGAATTATAAGTCAAGGGACTATTACTATTTTGCTTCATTTCTCTGAGGGATACATGGAAAAATTATTCTTTTCAATTGGTCATACATTTATATATACTATAAAAATTACCTGAAAGGGTAAGTTCAGAGCAGGTATTACAGTGTTTCCTTTTTGAAAAAAATGAAGGATTAGAATTTTAACAGTAGAAACCTTTTCAAATGATCTATTCTCATTCTAAAGTCTGAAAAGCAGAAGCATACTAAAGATATTGAGCTTGCTGTTCCTACTAATTTAGAATCATTGATTTCTGGGTAGGTATATTATTATTGTTATTATTATTAATATCAGAAAAGATAGAGGACTTTTCCTACCCTTTTAACTGTTTTTAACAGATGGAAAAACAGAGAGGGAGAGAGGGAGTGATGTTCAATGGTGCAATGTTAGGAGAATCGCTCATAGCTTTTGAACGTGAGTCCAGGTTTTTCCTTTATTTCTTTTAGGAATGATGTGTGTTTCTTTGAGTATAAAAGTGCATCAACATCCTGCTAGGATATGAGAGCTATAGGTGGAGTCATGTCTGTTCAGAGGATCAAGTTTACGATGGTTATCTGACAGGAAAAAGGAAACAGGAAAAGCAGGCCAAGAAAACTGGTGGCTATTAAAAATAAGGAAAAGACATCAGTGTCTTTAAGGTGGATGTATTTTATGTTTAAGGTCAGAGGCAAGTGAGTTAAACAGAGGCTACATCAGAGATGATAGGCTAATAAATAAAGCAGGGGAAGACGCACACAATCATGGGCCAGAGAGGACTTTAGTCTTGAAGGCCAGAGAACGAAGCCTTAGTTAAAAATATGGTTAGACCCTGAGATGGGGACATTAATCTGGTAGGCACAGTATCTAGACAGCATCGGTTTAGTGGTTTCCTTCCCAAATCAACCTCCATTGACTTAGGACCTTAAGGTTAATCCTCTTTGATTTTCTTTCTTGTAATATGTCTAACTAAGCCCATTTCACTTCAAAGTATTTTGTAATTAATTACCTTTTTATATCATTAGTGAAACAACTTTTGGTGAAAACACAAGGACTTGCATACCTGCAATTAAAGCATCACTCAGAATGCTTTGGCTTTCTGCAGTTTTCTGCAAAATATCAAGTCTTTGTCATCAACTTGTGCTGAAACTTGCACCATCGCCATTTTAGAGGTTTACACAAATACACCCACAGGTGACAAGATGCAAACTTTTAAAAATAAACATTCAGGTCATATTGTCGCATCATTTTGGGATACATTTTAATGAAGTATAACTAAGGCTGGATCTTTAAAATTATATTTAAAAAATAAATAAATAAATAAATAAATAAATAAATAAATAGTAAGTTCCATGATTCACTTAAAATTTCTTCATAATACAATTGACACTGGAATTCTTTTTAATAACATGTTCCTTTAAAGACTGCTATTCATATTTTAAAGTTATAATTTATATCTCTGTGAATTTTGAATATACTTAATAAAAAGATACTATATCTGAAAAAAAATAAAATGCAAATCCATCTGAAAAAAAATTATATTATAATATTTTATTGTTCCATGAAGCTTAACAGTATGGAAGAAATTGCTTGGTCTTACTCCCAGTGATACTCATTTACCAACATTTGGGGAAGGAAAATAGGGTAGTATTTTGCTTGTGTGTATACAAAGTTGCCTCACAGAGATTAGAAACCTGGGAATTTGATGTTTGACCACGTAATCTTAACTACCGATGACCAAAATACAGTGCCAATCAAGAATAAAAACCTACTGTATCATTCCCGTCAAAATGTTTTACTAGAGCTGTGACTGACACTCCTACAAATAGTTCTGAAGATGTGGGATTTATGTTCTAAATGGCTAAATTTTAACATACACATGTGTGTATTCTTGCATTGACCCACATATGGGCTCTCTTAGAATCCACACAAAGCACAACTGAGGCCATGTTCATAGAGCTCTGTTTGAAATCTCTTCTGGGTTAGTTGTCTACCATCCCATCGGAAGCTAGAGTAGAACCTCGTCAATAACAAACCTGATTAATGTCATGTGTCACGCGTAGGTAGCTGTGTTCCTCCACAAGTAGAAGCTGTAGTCTGACAAGATTACTTCCTTTTGGGATATTAACAATCTCATGGTAACAACATGTAAAAAGAAAGCAGATAGCCTCAAATTCAGTGACCCTACCAAATGAAAGACTTTTCATGTGTTTCTATTTTTGTTCTGATTCTTACATTATGTATATCTTTTATACAGAGATGCAAACATCACATTAGATATAAATTTTGTTTTTTTTCCCCCTTGTTCTCTTACATCATACATACTTCCATACATTATTATTCATGGCTATTGTTTTATTTATTTTTTAAAGATTTTATTTATTTATTTTTAGGGAGAGGGTGAAGGAGAGGGAATGAGGGGGAGAGAAACATTGATTGGTTGCCTGTCACACGCCCCCAACCAGGGGACCTGGCCTGCACCCCAGGCATGTGCCCTGCCTGGGAATGGAACCGCAACCTTTTGGTCTGCAGATCAACACCCAGTCCATTGAGCCACACTAGTCAGGGTCATGGTTAGTGTTTGAAATGGCTGCATACTATGCTGTACTAAGTCATGCTGAGACATCCCTTATTATATGAGAGTTCCGAAGCTGGTGCCCAAACACCATTTTTAACATAAGGTTTTGCATGCTGTTCTGCTAGAGGAAGCATCCTGCTAATGGTGGCACATTTCAAGCAATAGCTCATGTGTGTTTTTATTTTTAAATAGCTTATGGCAAAAATTCATTTTCAGTTTAATGAATATATGTTCGTAAGCTTCGTCATCTGCCCCTTGATTGACAGATGTGTAGGCTGAGGAGTTTAAGTGTTTGGTTTTGCTTTCGGTAGTTTTATATGTGTGTGCGTATATGTGTGTGTTTCCTTTTAGAAGGGGAGGGTAATGTCTTCCGTTGGAATGTGCACTCCACCCTCTTTGATAAGGTCTGTGGTAAGATTTGCGTCACTCCCCATGATAGTCATCTTCATAGCATCCAGCTCACAGCTCTTAGCTCCCATACGACGTGCGGAGGGTGGAGTGTATTGCAGTCATATTCACCCTTCATTTGTGTGTTTGATGTGGCATTTATATTAAGTAGGAGTAATTTTTTTTCTGATTTTTTTTTCTTGTGTCACCAGTGCACCTATTCCATTCTTCCATCGCTGTGCTCCTGTGAACATTTCCTGCTATGCCAAGTTTGCAGAGGCCCTGATCACCTTTGTCAGTGACAATAGTGTCTTACACAGGCTGATTAGTGGAGTAATGACCAGCAAAGAAATTATATTGGGACTTTGCTTGTTATCACTAGGTAATTGTTTTTCTCATTATTAGCTATTGGGTAGTTCTGCAGCAGAAGACTGTTTTTTCTCTTAACCAAAATATGAATACAACTGGGGATACTTGTAAAATGTTTCACCTCCCATAGCCAAATAATTGTTTCAGATTGTATATAGTTATGTTTATATATATATCTGAAACTCATTTCTTTTCTTTTTTTTTCTCATTGGAGAAAACTGGTGGGTTCCCAAACTTGGGTTACTAAGTCTATAACAACCTTTAACATTCTAACAAGAGGCTTCTTTTAAACAAATCAACACCCCTTTGTTTTCAGTTATAAATCTAATCTTTGGCTTATTTGCTTATAAGAAAGAGGCCACATATTTTTATGTCTATTTCCACCAAAGAACGTAGAGTTTCTGATTGATTACTTTTGAAATATTTTTTCCCTTGCAATAGTTCATAATATCACTGTATTGCTGGAAAAATTAGGAAATCTCCACTTGTTAGCTGTTGAGTTTCCTCATCATCGACTAGACAATATAATCAAATAAAACTCTTATTTGCAAGATATAAACTCCTGTATTATCCTAGAACTGTATGTAGCCATGTCAGAGTTTATAAACCTTTTTAGTTGGGAGAAGTAAAGTGGCAGGAAGCGAACAACCATTTCATTATATAAGTAACATGAGTATTTATGTCTGTTAACAGCAAGCATAGTTGTTGAGGAGATGAGCTATATGTCCATCTTGTCATTAGAGAGTATTTTCTTTTTGCTTAGGTAGTACTTAACTCATTTGAAATAATGCTACCCATATGAAAAGCTATTTCTGTAATATTTGAACTGCTCCTATCTGGTTTGGGTTCCTGTACATTTATTGCAAAAGTGAGTATCTTAATCATGTTACCTAGCTTGACTATTAGCTTAGTTTTACATAAGAACTATTTGGTTTCTGAAATAGTTGAATACTCTACCAAGAAAAAAAATGAAAACCTTAAAAATAGTGATAATAATGAGCCATTGGAATTCTATCTTTTTATTAGAATGCTTTTCTTGAGGCTTAAGTTCTTTGTCCATTTGTTTGTGAGGTGGGCCTTTAGATAACTAAAGATGAACAAATTATAATTTTAGAAGTAAGTTTCCCCATAAAAGGGCTAAATTCTCCCACTTTATTTTTAGCTGGGGATGGATAGAAGAGGTAGCTAAGGAACTCACACTAAGCTTTGCTCCTTCTTGAAGAGCTTCTTCATTGGGACCCTGAACCCCAGCTGAGGAATTTTTGGCTTCATTAGGTGTCAGGATGTTATTCCATAGGGTCAGACCCTCTCTTGGAATTTCAGAGGAGACACAGCCAGAAAGAGATAAACTACCATCTACTTTGTTAACCAAGCACCATAGAAACGGGTCCCAAGTTGAGTAGATCACTCAAGGAGGTTTAGCACCTAACTGAACTGATCTCTGTCTGCGTGTGATAATTTTTCTGGTCACCCACATGACATGTCATTCTCTGCACTTGGCGTGTCAGCATGTGTGTTTGCATGTGAGTTCTGATACCTCCCTGTGCCAAATCCACAATAGTCCTGTGCTGTTTTGAGTCACCGTGTGCATTTGCATGTATTCTTTTCTGTGTTTGTAAACCTACAGTTAGGTGCCTTTGGGTTCAAGTGGCACCAGTACCAAGGTCAAAGGGCAAAACCAGCCAGTTTCCTTTCTTACCTAAATCGGGGTCATAAACTTGTCAATAGCAACAAATTATTTCCCTAGGAGAAAACAATTGAAAAAGGGTTTTGTATTTTCCAGTGTTTTCAAGTAATATTCTACATGTTCTCTATTTATCTTCCCTGCAGTTCTATCCATGATTTTGATGGTGATAATCAGGTATATATCAAGAGTGCTTGTGTGGATCGTAACAATTCTGGTCATACTGGGTTCACTTGGTAAGCTGCTTATTTCTTTGTTTTTTGGTAATTAAGAATTGAGACTTAACAGTTGGTTTTGTCACTGCCTCAATTTAGAACTACTTCGATTATTTTTAAAAATTTTCTGCATGTGAATTCATTTTAACTGTAAAAAGACTGGTGAGTGGATTACATAGACATTATATCACTGCGAGAACACTAAATCAAATAAAATAGTAAGGTCATTGGCAAGTGGAGATGTTTTTTCCAGGGGCTAACTTTTCCTTTTTTTTTTTTTTTTTTTTGGTCAGTATTAATTTGGGGGGAAGAACCCCAGAGAAAATACAACAACTGGGGCTCTGTTTTGCTTTTGGCTCTTTAATTTTCACTTGATTCCCCCAATGTTCCCTGCCCTGCAGGTGAAGGAACCCCTTCCTTTTATCTGGTACTTGGTGAAGGCCCGAATCAGCCAGTCTGCAGTGTCAAAGTTCTCTCTGGTTGAAAAGTGTTCCTGGCAGCATAATTGTGTGTGTGTGTTTAAAAGTTTGTTTCTCGTTTTTTTGTCTATTGACATTCTGTTGTATCTTCTGTTTTGTTTTACTGTTTGTAATGAAACTTTCTTGGATTTCTGTGTTTATTATCTATTTAAAAAATAATAATTTCCTCTTCTTAGTTACAAATGTGACACCTACTCATGGTATCTAACTGCTTCCATAGTAGAAAATAGAAATACAAAAAGAAAGTAAAACTTATATCTTCACATGCTACATCTTCTCTTTAGTTATTTACTTTTGCCTTTTAAAATTTTATAATTATTTTTACTCCCTCCTCTCAGTTCACCACCATTAGCACTGAAATCCAGACGATTTTCCTCTTGTGTGTGTTTGTGTGTGTGTGTGAGACATATATTTTATTTCATTTTTGGAAGCTATTAAACATTAGTTTTAAAAATAATTTTCTTATACCTTCAAGATTTCAAAATAGAACTATTTTTCTTGCTCTGAAATATTTTTCATAGACTTATCATTGTTTGGGTTTGTTTACTCATCTTCGATAGAAAAAAAATTATGTTCAGAACCTGTCAACAGGTGAGGGTATGGACTTTCCCTTTGACCCCATTTACTCTTTGCTTGAGTGAAGATAGAGGTCAGGTTGACTTGCATAGAACTTAGCTCAGTTTCTTATCTTCCAGGCATTTATCTTGTCCACCTACATGCACACACACACACACACACACACACATACATACATGCTACTCTGACTCTTCCGTGGTCATTTCCTTACTGTGGCCGGCAAACCCTTAACTTGTAATCTGGTCCCCAGCTACCTTGTTACCCACATCTCTTATCTTTATTTATTGCACAGATATAGTGGCCTCCTCTAGGTCCTTTGCCAGGTGTGGTCCTACTTCAGCATCTTAGAATTTACCTCTTGCCTGGGACATCCTTTTCTTAGTCTCATAGATTTCACTCTCCCTGTTTTTGATTCTCTTGCTCAAATTCATCTCACCAGTGAGGACTTGCTTACCCATTGTGTATAAAATCACAATACTTTCTGAATGCCGGCACTTTCTATCCTTCTTACCACATGATTTCTTAGACTTTTTAGGGGTTTTTTTTCCTATTTTTTGTCTCCCCATTACTATGTAAGTTCCATGGGGGTTGAGGGTGGGGACTTGGTTTTATTCACTCTCTATTCGACATGTTGGCTGAATGAGTCAAATGAAGGGTTTGCTTCTGTCTTCAGTCTTGTCTCAGAATCTCTGAGCTAGTAGTAACGGAGACAGAAATTTCCAGCCCTCACACCCACTGCTATCAGAGATTTTCTGTCCTTGTTTTTACCTTCGGTGGGAACTATTTGTTTGATCTTCATTCATTCACAGTATGAATATTTCATCAATGGCATGACTGTCAGTACTGAGTACTGGGGTGGCTGTGAGGAGTACAGCAGAGGCGATCTTTGCCTTCCTCGGCTTTGTTGCTGATTTCTGTGACCCTTGCTTGCTCCTTGCAGGCTCCCCAGCTTAAGCTGATGCAGAGGCTCTTTGTGACCAGTGCCTCTTGGGGGTATCTGTCTTTGCCAGATATCTCTCAGCTTCAAAGTCAATAACAAATACAATTGAAGGAAGTTTATCTGATATACTGAAAGATTTGTGAGTGTCTAATGTGGAAGGAGATAGTGGAATAATTGGAGCTCCCTTTAGGCTGGCAAAAAAACATGTTATAGCTACTGTATTAGTCCCATGGTGATGCACAGGAAGGGTCCAGAAAATTGAGGATTTATGACACATTTTTGTGTGCTAATTATTGCAAAAACAATGGTTTTTGTTTCCAGGCGGCACAGGTGTACTGTGGTGGCTGTATGCAAAGCAAAGAAAGTCTCCCAAAGAAACAGTTATTCCTGAACAGCTTCAGATAGCTGAAGACAATCTTCGAGCCCTCCTCATCTACGCCATTGCAGCTACAGTGTTCACAGTGAGTATGGGCTCAGCTTTATGCATCTATTTACAAGGAGATCATTAACTGAGCAGAAACTCACCTCTAGCTATCACTTGCCTAACCTTGATCTCCATTAGATAAAATCTCCGTCCCACCGAAGGCTTCCTTCATTGATGGATGTAGTATTTTTGTTCTGCACTGCCTGCTTTTTTGAGAGGATTTTCACCTGGAATATTTACATTGTTATTTACTGGAAGAACGCATTTCTTATTGTCACAACATAATGTAATCACTTTTTACAAAGCAGTTCCCCTTTACTATAAAAAAGTGTGTTAAGAACTAAGTCACCTCATGTCATTTCATTTGCTTGTTTACTAATTACTTCCCAATTTTCCTTTTAAAGTTTTCTTTTCACAGCATTATTTCAAAAGTATAGGTGAGCTTGACTGCCTAGCCACTATACAATAAAAGTACTGACTAACATGTGGTTAAATAATCTATACTCTTATCTTTGGCTCATCTCCTTCTCTCTGAGCAAAAGAAAAAAGACATTTCTCTCGGCTTCTAGGAATAAACCCAAGTTTTTTATTAAGCACTAAAACAAAAACTAAAATAAAACTATCATAAAATCATTGGTGCCAAAATATATTTGCTACTGTACAGATTGATGATATATTAATCATCTTTTAAGTGCGATTATCTACGCCAGGGTGCCAGAGCAAGAGGGTGGGGGCCGGTGGGCAGAGGGTGAATCTGGCATGGACCCTGGTCTTAGGGAGCTCTTGGTTCAATATGGGGAATGAGGTACAAATTCCTCAGTGCTTTTGTGGTAATGGCTTGTGGTCCTATCCCCTATTTTTCAAAGCAACAAGCACGGACTATTCAAATAAAGTGTCACATCCTGGCTGACAAACCACACATTTTGATTTATAATGAGTACACAAAGGAAAAGTAGAATTCTAGGATTCAGTAGTAACTTGAGAAATCCTTTTATTAAGCTTTAAAGGGCACTTCCAATATGCAATTGAAAGCGATATGTATTGTAAGAGATACACAGACTGATAAAGTATTATTGGGTCTCAGAATGAAACTCCCAAGTTTCCGAGTGAAGGGGTTACAGTAAAAATTCCCACCATTGTTCAGTTTGGGTTTTCACCGCTTTCAACAGTGACGGAAACCTTTCCCTCCATTCTCTCCACACAGGTTATCCTGTTCCTGATCATGTTGTTCATGCGCAAACGTGTCGCTCTCACCATCGCCTTGTTCCACGTGGCTGGCAAAGTCTTCATTCACCTGCCATTGCTGGTCTTCCAGCCCTTTTGGACTTTCTTCGCCCTTGTCCTGTTTTGGGTGTACTGGATCATGACCCTTCTTTTCCTCGGCACCACTGGTAAGAGGACCTGTTGCTTCTTTCTGTTGGTGTTGAATCGTATTCCCATTAAAACATTTAAAACTTCAAAGAGATGTAATTCTTCAGACATTTGACTAAGGTCTAATAGCCATCAGTACCACCAGTGGTCATGGGGCTTCAGTAACCCAATTTCTAACCATTATTTGTAGATCATCTTAGCGGAGTGGGCAGAAACCAGGTAAGGCCTGGCGTTCCATCCTGGTCATGGACTTGAAGTGAACTCCTGTGCTCACTCAGACACTGGGATCCATGCTGAGTTGAACTAATGAGCGCAGTGCCTCTTCACAGTTGTCCCAAACCTCAGTTATAGCCAAGATCAACTTGTTTCCATGGGATTTTCTAGTGTGGGAATGATCTGAGCTCGGTGATGTTTCAGTTCACAGACTCTGGGATTTGCTTGTAGCCATACTTAATATGAAAGGTTACACCTAAATGGAGTTAACTGAGGGGAGTAACATGAGGTTAGTAAACTTATATGTAATTTCTCTGGCCATTCAGCACACATTCACCAATTGAATAGAATATGAATTTCTATACTTTGTTAATAATTAGTTCTGTAATTATTAGGCAAGTAATAGCTCCGAAAAAATTTAAAGTATTTGAAAACACATGCCTAATGTGGCAAGACCTATATTCAATAGAACAAAATTTAAAAGCTATATGTCATGGCTTTGGGGAAAACAAAATTTTGAATCATATGATATTTGGCTTCACATCTTTTCAAGGGATAATTAATTTTGTCCCTTAATGAAATAGCACTGTGATCATAAGTTTGCGGGTTGGGGGTAGGGAACCTACCGTTGGATATGGAATTAATCTCTTCAACTTAATAGCCATGTTTTGGGTTTACACTTTATGTGATTCTTCTTTCCTTCCTTGATGTTTCCTAGGCAGCGCTGTGAAGAATGAGCAGGGCTTCGTGGAGTTCCGGCTGTCGGGACCCCTGCAGTACATGTGGTGGTACCACGTGGTGGGCCTGATTTGGATCAGCGAGTTCATTCTGGCTTGCCAGCAGATGACGGTGGCGGGAGCCGTGGTGACGTACTATTTTACTAGGTGAGAGATTCTGCTTATCAGAGAACCGAAGGTCATCATCTAAGTGATTGTGCCTGAGAGGAATGGCACCGAGCCTTGTAAGAAATGTCATTTCTTTAAGAAGTAATTGGAAGTGAATAAAAACAAATGTGATAGTTGCTGATTCTGGGAGGTGGGAAAACGAGAAGTTGTCATTTTATTCTTTACACTTTTCTAAAACTTTCTCAGAAATGCATCAGAACAGCAAACCATTGTGTAACAAATTATATTTAGCAAAAGAATAAATCTTGCAGTAGTGCCTTATATACATTTCTTTATACCAAAGTTTATCAAAGGAAAACAATTTGTTTAATTTGTGTGGATCAGAACAGTTGTGTGCCTACCTCTCCTGACTTTGGAGCCGCATATAAGTTGTCGGCCTCACTGTTTTCTGTGGTTATGAGGTGCCGGGTTCAGACCGAATGTTTTTTTAAGTTCCATTTTCTTTTTCTTAAAATTGTATTTTTTCATTACTGTTTATCCCCCTTAAGTATTTACTAATAAGGACTTCCAAAGCACACTTTCATTTAACTTAAAATATTAGATCATAGGAACCCCATGAAACTACTATAGAGAAATAAAACTTTAATTTTTTCTGGTACCTCCCTAGTATCTACATCAGTTGTACTGTATTACTTTACCCTTTCGTCATAAAGCTAGAGTAAGAAAAATGAACCAGTTTTTCATCCCATTGGACTCTAAACCGTTCCTGTGTTTCCATCCTGGTCTAGTCTCTGTGTTAATTGTCTTTTTGGTCATCTTTGAAATAGGGATAAAAGGAATTTGCCATTTACACCTATTTTGGCATCAGTGAATCGCCTTATTCGTTATCACCTTGGTACTGTGGCCAAAGGATCTTTCATCATCACCTTAGTCAAAATTCCACGGATGATCCTTATGTATATTCACAGTCAGCTGAAAGGAAAGGTAAGGGGGAAAATAGCTTCCTGGACTTTCTGTGGACACATGCCAGACATCGCTTCTGCACATAGTACATGATGTCGTGTCCAAAGCTGTGAATGTTTTCTTCAGTCCCCGAAAAGAGGAACCCAGCCCTTCCTCCCTTGCACCCCACTCTTGCACTCATAAGCTCTAGCAAAATCCATCTCATCACTGGTTTCCATAAGTGTCCTGTACTTCTCCTCCTGTGTCAAGTCACACACCATCCTCCTTAGAACCTCTTCCCTGTCTATAGAAATAACATGCATTTCAACATAGCATCGCTGAAATGCCACCCCTTCCAAGAAGTCCTCCCTGATTCCTCCCAAATGGTGTCCCTCTCTGTTCTCCACGCTCATAGCACTAGTATCTATGTCATAGTCTGATTCTAACCCCTTTTATGGTCAGTAGCATTTTTCCCTCTCCTTCTAGATTGTAAAATCCTTGCTGGTTTTCTATACCTCGCTATATCTTATGTGCAACAGGGACTGAATTAGTGTTCAGCTGATTAAAAATAGTTCAGCCATTACATTTTAAGGGAAATGGGGGTGGGTGTGGAGGTTCTGAAGCATAGGTTAGGATTTTTAAACTTTTTGTTTTTCTAAGCTTTGGAGTATTCTTTATGACGGTTTAATTCTTTCGTTTCTAAAATTGACTTCAACTGTCCCTCCTCTCCAGGAAAATGCCTGTGCTCGGTGTGTGCTGAAGTCCTGCATTTGTTGCCTTTGGTGTCTTGAAAAGTGCCTAAATTACTTAAATCAGGTAAACTATTTTAAAAATAAATCTAATGTTCATTTCCAACACAGTGCTGGTCATTTCTTCCTCCGAGATAAAATGGTGGAGCCCAGCTGAAAGGTGTCATGTGCTCTCACAGTGTCTGCCCTGTGCTTTCCTTGATCAGGAATCTCTGGTTCAGTCATGTCCTTGTTTTTCCAAGTCACATACGTTCTTACCAAGGCTCGTCATTAATTCATCGTGATGCATCAATTAATATCATTAGGGTTTATCTCTCGGGAAAGACATTTGTCTCTTATGACTTAGTTTCTATCTTTTCCTTTTTGATTTTTCTGAAGACTTTGTTTACTCTAGGCATAGTCCTTTAATTCTTTAAATAAATAAATAAATAGACAAACAAACAAATAAATAAATAAATAAAACTCTGAGTGAGCCAGAACAAACAGGTCTGTAGGCCATGCAATGTCAGTTGTCAGGGGCCATTAGTTAGTTGCCTCCGCTTTAAAGAATTGAGACGATCACAGCGAAGAAGAAAGAGTGTTGATACGGAGGCAGAATAGGTCAGAGTCGTTTTGCAGAACAGTGTGGAAGCCTTAATCCCAAACCACGCTCCAGTGCCACACTGCATGGGAAATGCAGCTGGCTTCAAGAAAGCTTTAGATTTTTTAAATGAGCCATTTTATTGTAGTATTTTCAGCATAAATGTTAGAGTTTTACAGATAAGCAGAGTGAACTGAGAGCTGCTCTTCGTTTCTGTAGGTGTTTAGCTAATGTGACATGGAGGTGATTTTTTACGTCTGTTCTAACAGGTAGAACTCAGTTTAGGTGGAGAGATTGTTTCAATCAGAATCTGTTTCTCTTGGGCATTGGGTTACTCAGGCCTTGTTTTGCTGTTTGAAGATAGTACATTTAACCCTGGAGGGTATCTGCTCTCTGGCTGATAAGCTCTTAAGATTATAAAGCTTTTCACTATATAGTATTGAGTGGGAGTTGAAGAGAACATTTTTATATTTTTTGAGCGCCAGTAACTGATACTATACTAAACATATACACACACATACACACACACAGTTTGTCCAGAAGGTACCCAGCCATGTAATATGAAAAATAGAAACATTTATTAAAGAAGATGTAAGATACAAGAAACATTGTACATAGGGCAATGATACCTCAGTTCCCTTCAAAGTAGGCACTTAGGACCTCACACAGTTCTCCCAGTCACCATCAGCTGCCCCATTGTATTTTCCTGAATCTCATCGATGGTCTGAAATCTTTTCCCTTTCAAAGGTGATTTTAGTTTTGGGAAAAGCCAGAAGTCGCAGGGCCCCAAATCTGGGCTGTAGTGGGGCTGAGTCCCTCAATGCTTTGATGTTTCAGCAAAATGCTCTGCATGAGACATGATCCGTGAGAGGGCACGTTGTCATGATGAAGCTCCAATCACCAGTTGCTGTAGCTGCGGCCCTTCTGTATCATCCAGATAGTTTCCATGGAGCAATGTTCAAGCTTAATGCAAAATTGGATGGGGATTTGTTGCTCTAGTCACTCACTCATTTTGAATGTGATGGCCACACAGTGCACATGCTCACTCGACAGCATCTACCACCCCCACTGACTAGTACAGTGAAGTCGTCGTTGTTCACACATGCACATTCCAGTCCACTCTCCTTGGCTGCCAGGTTACGTCAGTGTTGCACAAACTGTTCTTTTATGTTAACAATGGCTGGCAGGACTTCTTCCTGGCAGACTATATGTATAGATAGATAATAGATATAGCTCCATAGTCTCTTTCTTTCTACAACTCTTTGAGGAAGGCTCATTCCCTGTTTTATAGGTGAAAAATTGAGACTGGGACCTCATGACAGATCAACAAAACCTAGAATGGAGGAAATTTTCAATCTAAGTTTGCCCAGCTCTTGCCATGATATCATGCTACTTCTTGTATAAATATATACACATTCTGTGCAACACTAAACAAAATTATAGTTTATAGAGAATATGTAAACACCTCAAATTTTCATGTATTGTGCTGCAAACTTAGATAAATGATGGTTATAAAGACAATCTCATTTGAATTATGATTTGCAACATAATTCTGATGAGCCCCTAAAAAGTAAAAAAAATCACAACCAAACTGAATGAAGTCTATGGCATAAGTTGGACTTTGTGCCTCCTCCATTTTGCACTCAAAATAAGAAAGGGATAATTTGAATTGCCTTTTCCCTTATTTAATTTAGCATGTTCCACGCATATCCTATTTCCCTTTTCCTACTATTACTATCTAGCTTGCCCTTATTGAACTATTATGTAAGATTTTAAACTTTAAGAGTGGAGAAAGGCAAGGAGGGGTGAAACTGGGGAGGCTGTGCTCTGGGACAGGTGGCCAAGCAGACCTGAGCTACCTGCATGGCGACCTCTGTCCCAACACATTTCTTCCACGTGTCCACTACTTGTTCACTATATCCTGTCACACTGAAATGCTACCAGAGACCCCTTGTGCTAATAGGTGTTCTTTTAAAGAGATTCCTGGATGGTGTTCAACTTTTCTCTTGCTCTGAGAGTTCATTAGTTTCAAGCCTGTGTCCTGCGTGAGCAGATGTTGGGCACCAGCCAAATGTGAGTCAGTGGTGCCTCTCTGTGTCTGCTTAGCTCTGGATCAGGAAGGCTGTCTGAGAAGAAGGCGGATGGGCTCTAAAAATCTCAGCTAAGTAGTCTGAAGAAAGCCCAGAGAGCAGTTCCTCTGGGAAGCTACAAAGGACTCGGGATTTCTTGAGAATCTTAGCGTGAACCCTTTTAGACTAAGGAGGTGCGGGAGCAGAGAGAAATGTTATTGACTTGCTGTGACCTGTAGCACATTTTTCTTTCTGAAGAGGTCAGCGTGACCTTTGTGTATCACATGCAGCTCATCCAACTGCCCTGGGAGTGGGAGAAAGCTTGTAAAATAGCCACTTGGTGTTTTCAGTCGGGTTGAGTACAAAAATGGGGCACAGACCTATAGGAGTATCGCCATAGAAAATCAAATTTCTATGAGCTTGGCCTAGCCTGGAACTGCGGAGTGAAGAAAAAATCATTCCTTCCTCCTTCCGTGTCTACAGATAAATGGGCTTCTGCTGTAAGAGTAAATGGAATGGGTGGGCGGGGTTGGGGGGGGAGGAAGAAGCAGCAGAGGAGGAATGAGGCTAGTTCTCAAATAAACCGATGCTTCTGAAGCTTAAGGAGGACAACAAAAAAGCTTTTGCAGTTCACATCGGAAATGTTGGGCCGGTGCCTCGGAGTCAGCTGGTCTGAGGACAACGGGAGAGACTGGAGGTGTGTGGGTCCTCCCTTCTGTCTCCTCTTACAAGGAAAATCAAGTTCAAACTGGAAAGGGTAGAACAGCGTAATTAAGAGAGAGTAGTCTGTCCTTATTGAGGAGATGGGATTTAAGGCTACGTTGTTGATTTAAATGGGTTGTTCAGTATCCTTGATACTAGACATAATGCTTTTTATACTTTAGGAAGCATCTCATTTATATATATATACATATGTATATAAATTATATATTAAATATGATAAGGTATTTTTCTCTGAAAACCTGTTATTAAATGCAGTTGGCCCTCCGTGTCCATGTGTTCCGTATCCACAGGTTTCACATCTGCATACTTAGCCCCTTTGGATGGAAAATGCTTTTGGTGGCAGGGGGGTTGTTATGTTGCTGGTGTGTACTGTGTAGTTAGGCCTATGATGGTTGCCTCTGTACTTAACATGTACTGACTTTTTTGTCATTATTTCCTAATAAAGCAGTGTAACAACTATTTACATGGCATTTATATTATATTAGTACTATAAGTAACCTAGAAATGGTTTAGGTATACAGGAGGATGTGCATGTTACATGCAAATACTATGCCATTTTATGAGGGGGATGTAAGTGTTGTCGGATGTTGGTATCTTGGGGCATCGGGAACTGAACACCGCAGATACCGAAGAACCGCAGAAACTCATTCATTAGTCTCATGATCATGTCTTAGAATAGGGGAAGAAATGTTTTTGGCTTTGTGGGCCATATAATCTCTCACAGTTCTGCCATTGTAGCATGAAAATAGCCATGTACAATAGGTAAACAAATGAGCATGGCTGTGTTTCAATAAAACTTTATTTGCAAAGTAGGCAGCAGGCAAGATTTCACCCACAGCCAATAGTTAGAGAACCCCTGCTTTCTGATAAATTGCTAAGTGGGGTGTGTGTGTTTTAGTGAGTACAGAGGGAACTGGTGAGAACTGGGAACGGGTTTTGATTTTGGAGAAGAGTTCAGACAAGGGCAATTTTCCATGGTTTTTCAGCAGGGTTACTATTACACAGGATCAAAAGCATGGTTTATTTTGATGTCATTGAGGCATTTTGCAGAATGTTTCAAAAGGAGCCTTGTAAAAAATGAAGAAATGTGGGCCACGGCAGCGAGGCAGTTAACTCTTTGGTGCCTGCTCTTCTTTAACTGATGAGAAACACTGAGGTAACAGCGGAAGAGGCCACGCAGCAAATGAATGCCAAGGAAAACTTAGCAGTATGATTTCTTTAAAACACTGTATATACTAGCTTTGGAGATAAAAGGCTGGCAAACATAATATAGTAATGTGTTCTGATAATAAATTACCCCAGTTTGTGTGATGCAATTTCATATATTAAAATCCTAACTGTGTTTCCCAATGAGTACCATAATTTTCTGCTGCTTTATTGCTGCAAAAGTTTATGAACCTTCAGCAGTAATCTGCTCAGGACAGTACTCTTTCCTTGGCCCTGGAATGCTCTGCATTTTTAATCAGCGAATTTAATCACATAAGGGCAAATTAAATTTTTGATAAGTCAAATCTCATCTCCATACCAGGTTCCTAATAACTAATAAGCATTCAGTTGGAACATTCATAAATTAAAGATTTATGCTCCAAGCTACCAAAATCTCTGTCTAGCTCAGGGCTTTTAAAGTTTTGTGGACAACACAGTGTAAAGTCAGCCTTCACGTCTAGCGGTTTTCTGGCAAATTGAACATTTTGGACATACTGATAATTAAGTCAGCACTAAACCAAAAATTCCTCAGGACCAAAAGTTGTAGTCACAAAATCCATATACTTTCCTAAGACTCAGACACATTTGACTAGTGCTTATTTACATTTCCCAGAAAATGCCAATGCTATTCTAAAATGTAATATAAAAAAGAGGGGGGAAATCAGTCTGTGATTAGTGGGTCAGAGACGACCTGGGGCAGCAGAAGCAGGTGTAATTGAATAAAAGTGGGTCATCTGGGACTCGGCACTATAAGGGACAGAAAGCCAGCTCAATCTGACCTAAAAAGGAGAGAGAGAGAGAGAGAGAGAGAGAGAGAGAGAGAGAGAGAGAGAGAAGGGAGAGATCCTTAGCACTGTATTAGCCACTGTAACTGAAAAGTCCAGAATCTGGCTAGTTCCTAATGATGCAAAATGTCATCAGCAAGTGCAAGTACCTGGTTTCTCTCCGGGGTTAGCCTCACTCTCGGTTTCACACTGTGACCTCCAGCACCTCTAGGCTCTGCCTATTATATTGGCAAAACATCCTTGGCAATTCAAACCCTCGCAACTCACTCGTTACCCAGGAAAATGAGAGAGCCGCTCTGTCAGGAGCACCGATGGATGAGAAAGAAAACCTCTTCCCAGAAGTCCCAGGGCATGTCATTTACTTTCAATGGCTCTGATTAGCTTGCATGCCAGTCTCTGAACCCGACTTGCTCACCCCCACAGCTGAAGGTGGTATTGGCTTCACTCAGACTCTGAAGAATGGGGGAAGGGCTCCTTTCTCAGATAACAAACAGTTCAGGTCCTGCTCCCAGGATGGAGGGTGTAAAATAATTGGGCAGCAAACAGCTATCTACTAGCTGTGGGAAGAGACAGCATAGGAGAGAGCACCACGGAGGAGATGGTGGGTGGTCCAGATGAAACAGCACAGCAGTCTGATGCCGTTACATATTTGTGTAGCTTTTAGAGCATCACTGAAATGGTGATAATGCATCCCTGATATTCACAGGGATGCACCTAAGACATCTAGGAAAGGTTCAGTTATGTTTGATATACCAAGACGGGGAAGAAGTTAATGGATGTTGGAAAGGTTAGTATGTATTTTAATAAATATCAGTGTTTTTCAAGGATAATAACTAAGCCAACTGAAAAGTTCTTTTTACCATATCAGGTAGTTTTTTAAATAGCTCGTATTTTTTTTATGCTTCGTATTAATCTATACCTCACCAAAGCCATGGGTTTGTGAAATATTTTTTATAAGCTATGCTTAATTATGCTTGGTTTATCTCTTAACAAAGTGAGATTGTTTATTGATGAAAATATCATTTTCTCTTTTGTCCAGAATGCATACACAGCCACAGCTATCAACAGCACCAACTTCTGCACCTCTGCAAAGGACGCCTTTGTCATTCTCGTGGAGAATGCTTTGCGAGTGGCCGCCATCAACACAGTGGGGGATTTCATGTTATTCCTAGGCAAGGTAAGACCAAGTATATTATCTTGAGGTATACAGTAAATTTTTATATCTATATATAGGTATATAGATATAGATAATTTAATTTCAAAAATATCTAGCCCACCAAAAAAAACTAGAAGTATTGTAACTTAATATATAGCAAGCACTTACAAAGTCCTTAATATGTGTGAAGCACTTTTCCAAGCACTTTACATGTATTGTGCTCATTTAATCCTCACAACAAATTTGTAAAGGAAGATCTGTTGTTATCATCATTTTACAGGTGGGGAAACTGAGGCACAGGGTGGTTAAGTGTAACTTGCCTATATTTCTGCTTACATATTTTGAACTGTAAAGAACTAAGTAACAGCCTGGGTAAGTGGTTAGGGGTACTGTGTCTGCAGCTTGACCATGGAGATTTAGATCCCACCTCTTTCACTGACTAGCTGTGTGACCCAAAGCAGCATACATAACCTCTCTGTGCCTCAGTTTAGTGCTTTATAAATTTGAAGTACTAATGATGCCAAACCCTTAGAGTTGTGAGGATTAAACTTGTTAGTACATGTAGTTTACCTAAGACATTGTTTGTTACATTATAAGTTCTCAATGAATGGTAGCTGTCGTTGTTACTATATATAAACCACTTTAAAATAGAGTTATTGGGGAGTGAGACTTAAATGTCCTTAAAAGTGTCTGAGAAGAGGTAATTTATTCTATTCTGCTATTAAAATCTGTAAAATAATAAATAACATTATAATTGGATTTTATTGTGTCCGTCCATATTTCAAACCATAAAATACTCAGAAAACTTGGAAGAAAAAGACACCACCTCTGTAACCTAATAACTTAACGGTGTCACCTGTTCCCACCCAGCATTTTGTCATAGGCTTATATTTCTATGGTATAACAATCATAGCATACACACCTGTTTTTTCTGCCCTTTTCACTTCATATTATATCATGCATTTTTTGTATTGCTTTGATAATCTTCATAATTACTCATTGTTATGGTCAATATTTCATCAAATGCTATTTTTTTAATATATTTAATTGATTATGCTACTGCAGTTGTCACAGTTTTCCCCCCTTTGTCCTCCTCTACCTGGTACCCCCCATTCCCTCCAACAATCCCCCGCTTAGTTCATGTGCATAGAACATGCATGTAAGTTCTTTGGCTTCTCTATTTCCTATGCTGTTTTTAACATCCCACTGTCTATTTTTTTAAATATTTATTTATTTATTTATCTTTAGAGGGGAAGGAGAGAGGGAGAGAAACATCAATGTATGGTTGCCTCTAGTGCATCCCCTGCTGGGAACTGGCCTGCAGGAAACTGGCTTGCAACCCAGGCATGTGCCCTGACTGGGAATTGAACTGCGATCCTCTGCCACTGTCTATTTTGTTCCTACCAATTTGTACTTCTTAATCCCTGTGCTTTTCCCCCCATTCTCCCCCTTTCCCTTCCCAACTGACAACCCTCCAGATGATCTCCATATCTGAGATTCTGTTTCTGTTTTGCTTGTTTGCTTAGTTTGTTTTTTAGATTCAATTGTTGATAGATATGTATTTGTTGCCATTTAATTGTTCATAGTTTTGATCTTCTTTTTCTTAAATAAGTCCCTTTAACATTTCATATAACAATGGCTTTCGATGATAAACTCCTTTAGCTTTTACCTTATCTGAGAAGCACGTTATCTGCCCTTCGATTCTAAATAATAGCTTTACTGGATAGAGTAATCTAGGTTGTAGGTCCTTGCTTTTCATCATTTTGAATGCTTCTTACCATTCCCTTCTAGCCTGCAAAGTTTCTTTTGAGAAATCAGCTGATAATCATATGGGAACTCCTTTGTAGGTAACTCTGTTTTTCTCTCTTGCTTTTAAGATTCTCTCTTTATCTTTTACTTTTGGCATTTTAATTATTATGTGTCTTGGTGTGTCCTTGTTTGGAACTCTCTGTGCTTCCTGGACTTTTATGTCTATTTCCTTTACCAAATTAGGAATGTTTTCTTTCATTATTTTTTCTAATAAGACTTCAATTTCTTGCTCTTTATCTTCGCCTTCTGGCACCCCTATGATTCAGATGTTGGTGCTTTTGAAGATGCCCCAGAGGCTTCTTAGCCTATTTTCTTTTTTTTTTTATTCCTTTTTTTATTGCTGTTCTGATTCAATTTTTTTTCTTTCTTATGTTCCAAATCATTGGTTCTCAGGGGATTCTAAGCTTCATCCCCTCCACTGCTGGTTCTCTGTAAATTTTTCTTTATTTCACTTACTGTAACCTTCACTTCTGACTGGATCTTTTTTATGATCCTCACTGAGTTCCTTGAGCAACTTTATAACCAGTGTTTTGAACTCTGCATCTGATAGATTGCTTGTCTCCATTTTGTTTAGTTCTTTTTCTGGAATTTTAATCTGTTTTTTTTTTTTTTTTTTACTGGGGCCATATTTCTTTGTCTCCTCATTTTGGCAGCCTCCTTCTGTTTCTGCATATTAGGTAGATCTGCTTTGACTCCCTGTCTTAGTAGTGTGGCCTAATGTAGAAAAGTGTACCAGTAAGTTGCATGGGGAGGAACCTTAGGTAATCACCAGGGCAGAAGCAACCCAAGTTGCTGCTCTGTGGCTCTCTGTAGGGGAGGGCTCCTGGAGGGGACAATGCCACTGCCTGGCATCTGGGAGGAAGCTGTCTCCTTGCATTCGCCCTGACGCCAGTCACTTTAGTGCCTCCCCGTATGCCACTGGTGCCCTTTCAGCTATTTCCCTGGTGCTGAGTCCCAGAGTGGGGGTGAGTCTGTGTAAGTCATAAGTCCATTGCAGGCCCTTTTAGAGGCAACCTCTGAGAATCCTGCAGTTTCTTCCACTACCCCAACCCCCACTTGTTTTTACAGCCAGAAGTTATGGGGACTTACCTTCCTGACGCTGGAACCCTGGGCTCAGTAGTCTGCTGTGGTCCTGGGGTCCCTCACTTCTGAGGTCTCTCTCCCAATTTTTATCTACTGCACGTGGGTGTGGGAATGTCCGTTCTGCCTCTCTGTGCATCACCACCACACATCTCCACGTCTCTGTGCATCTTCACGCCTCCTTCCCTCCTACCCATCTGGATAGATGCAGCTTCTTTAATCCCTTGATTGTCGGACTTCCATACAGCTTGATTTTCTGATGATTCTGGGTGGCATTCGTTTTGTAATCTGGTAGTAATTTCTGCTATGGTTGTACAAGGAGGCGCCTCCATCTTGACCAAACTGAGATGCTATTCTTAAATATTCTCTCACTGCCCAATGTTTAGGTTACTATAGCCACTGTGCTTTTAAAATGTTTTTGAAAGGAAAAATATTTGGTGTAAAAAGGCAATGATAGCACCGTGTGGGTGTATGTCCTTAAGTAAAAGTCATCTAAACAGAATTCTAAAACTGAACAGAGTTGTTTTGAAAATATATGACTAAACTTACATTATGACTGTTGGATTTGTTTTGTCATGTTTTTACAATAAGAGGTTTTTTCTAGTAGTAAGGACTGAATGGATGAATCCACGTTAAAGGCTGATGAGTACAGTGCCTGACACTTATTAGCTGAATGTTATTATATGCTGTATGTTCATTTATGTGCTATATGACTAATTCTGGAAGACTTCACATTTTTGTACTGATTTTTTACATATTTATAATTTATCTGTACTGCTAAGAAAGATATGAAGCAACTCAAAAACATATATATATATAGTAGTATATATATATATATATACACACACACACAGAGTAAAAAAAATACAAGGGAAATTAGAAGCCATGTAGGGAAACAAATTGTACAAAGGGAGAAAATTATCCTAAGTGGCAACATTTGGTTGTGATGGTGATTTTAGTGAACTCTGGTTGAGTTGCTTGCTGGTATCGGTGCTGAGGGAAGTGCTTTATGGGAGGGGTTCTGTGTGGCCTCTCTGTCAGGTGATCTATTATTATTATCCTCATTTTATAGCAGAAGAAACCAAACTTTAGAGAGCTGAGCAGGTTGCCCAAATTTAGAGACTTAGAACATGACAGAACTGGAGTTCAAACTCAGGTCTGTCTGCCTTCTACATTTTTAATCACTATGTGCTATAATTATAATCACTTCCACTGACATTAACTTTACCCTTAGGCCTTTTTTTTTTTAAGTCTTTTGATTCAGTAATCCAAGTGATTGGTAAACTGCTGCTAAAACAGAATTTTAAATACAGAAAAATACAGCATTATTTATAGCAGTGATCAATTGTAAACAGTGTACTGCCTAACCACAGAGAAATGGTTGGAAATAATGGTCAACAGACTATTATTCACGTATTAAATCATTTTTATTAAGAGTTTATAATATGATAATGCCTATAACACAGTAAGTGAAAATGCTGAGTAAAACTGCTAGACTGCCGCAATACTGCGTTTCAATGTGCATAAGAAGAAGAATGAAAATTTACCCCTCCCCTTATTTTATACTAGTAAGATAAAGTTCTGTATATTAAGCATGCATTCATTTTATGATGGAAAATATATATGGATGATAAAATACTATGTCTTAAAATTGGTTGAGTTTTCCAGCAGAAAAAATGTAAACCTAAATTTTTTCTTTAGGTTTATCACGTAATGAATATTTGTATTCATTCAGCAAATATTTATAGTAATGCCCGAGGGACTATCCTGGGTGTTGGTCATATACTAGTCAATAAAGAGGATTTAAAATCCACTAGAAAGGGCAATTTTGTATTCTTCTTTTAATTTTGCATTATATTATGAACAGTTCCTATTTTATTAAAAACATTTTAAATATGATTATACAACTGTTGTATCATTTTTTAACCAAGCCCCTGGGCCTTTTTCCCAGTTAGATTGTCTTACTTTTTTACTAAACTGAAGTACGCTGCAGTGAAACCTTTGTACACAAATCCTTGTCCACGTCATTGCTCCTTTCCGGAGGCCAGAACCCTAGAAGTGGGATTAACAAGCCAGAGTATGTAATAAGGTTCTTGGTATGCATTGCCAAACTGCTTTCCAGGAAGATATAAATTTGAATAATATAATTATAACATTGTAAAAAAATGACCTATAACCATGGGAGATAAACATTTTGTAATCAAGAAATCTAAAAAAGGAGAAAAATAACAAGAAAAATCTTCTGAGTGTCCAAAATACTAAGATAAATTCTCAGTATTTACACAGTCTGGATATAAATTCTGCAGTTGAACTTTTTAAAAATATAGTTCTGATCCCAGTAGAGTACATCTTTTTGAAATGAGTTTCTTTGAGTGCAAGTAGGTGGTTGCTGGTGTGCAGAGATAGTTTCTGATCCAGTAGCTCAACTAGGTAGGTCGTCTAAAAGACAGTGTCAGGAATGAACTGTTGACATACACAGTGACTTGGGTGAATCTGGAGGTAAATTTGCTGAGTGAAACATGCCAGTCCAGAAGATTAAATAGTACATGATTCCATAGATAGAACATGCATGAAATGAAGGCATTATGGAAATGAAGAGCAGATCTGTGGTTGCCCAGTGAGAGATGGGGTTGGGGGGCTGCAGGGGTAGCTGTAAAAGGCTAGGGTGAAGGAGCCTGCGATCATGGAAATGCCCTGTGTCTGGACAGTGTAGGTCTCAGTGCCGGCTGTGCCGTCCTATAGTTTTGTGAGATGTTGTCCTCAAAGGGAACTGGGTAAACGGTACTTGGGATCATTCTGTGTTATTTCTTACAACTGCATGCAAATTCACAGTTATCTCAAAATTTTATATTTAATTTTAAAACCCTGAATTTTGCAAAAGAATACAAAATAAAATATCCTGGACTCCATTTCCGTGGAGCTTAATGGTTTAATGGAATGGAAAATTGGGTTTGGAGGGACCTTAGCTCCTCTGGTTTAGTGACTTGTGACTTGGTGATCAGTGGCTCTGAGTCTCAAAGGTAAGACTTAAGTCTAATAGACATTGCAGATTTCCCCCCATAAAGCTATAATAAAGAACCAAAATCTCAAGTTTCTTCACTTCTGTGTGAAATTACTTTTACCTCTATTTTATAATACTTTTTCTAATAATAATTGTGTACCCTAGTTGGCAATTTATTTGGCTTTGGATTAATAAAAATGAGAATATGAACTATTACTTGTAAATGCTATTTTATTGGTAAACTAAGTCTTTCAAATCAGGGGTTCCATGGGGACAGGATACCATAAATGCAAGATTTATGGTGGCAAAAATGAAGGAACTAAAGTAGCCAGGCACTGTGTTAATGCTTTTAAAGTGCTGATTTTAAGTTATGGGATGTATTGTATCTTTTAAAGGTGGAATAAAAGGCTCAGAAGGGGTACATGAACTTAAGAGTCACACAACTACGAAGTACTAACTAACTCTGATTCAAAGCTCCGTCTTTCTGACACCAAAACTGTAACCTTTGCCTGCCCCTTTTTTCCACCATCATCCCCCTCCTCCCTCCTCTCTGGTCACTGTCAGTCTGTTCCACGTTTACATGTCTGCGATTCCATTTTGTTCATTAGCTTATTTTGTTCATTAGATTCCACCTGCAGGTGAGATTGTATGGTATTTGTCCTTCACCCCCTGGCTTATTTCACTTAACGTAATATTGAAGTTGTTTCTCACGTGACAGTACCCACTTTCCACCTCAACAGCTTTTCTTTCAACATCGAGTTTTCCTGAGCCACACCTTCCAACGAGCTTTAACTCAAGCATTCCAAATGTGTTTTAACTTTTAGTGGCATAGTGAGAGCATAAAGAACTTCAGCCTTTCCATTGGGTGGATATCAAAAATTTGAGCACAAATGTAAGAAATAACACGTTCTAAAATGCTGCCAGTAAAGAAGAAAATGAGTGTGGTTGGTTAGCTGGAAATCACCTCAGGAAAGTCACTAGCAGAGAAGAGTCATAAGAGCTGCCCCCAAAAATGGTTTGTGTGTGCAGGGAGGGGTCTTCCAAGTCATGGACAGCCCTGGCTGGTGTAGCTCAGTGGATTGAGCGTGGGCCTGTGAACCAGACAATCGCGGTTCGATTCCCAGTCAGGGCACATACCTGGGTTGCAGACCAGTTCCCTGCAGGCCAGTTCCCAGCAGGGGACACACGAAAGGCAACCATACATTGATGTTTCTCTCCCTCTCTCCTTCCCTTCCCCTCTAAAGATAAATAAATAAATAAATCTTTAAAAAAAAAAATCATGGACAGACCCAGATTTGCCCCTAACATTGTCTGAGAGAAAGATAAATTTACAGCTTAGCCAGTGTACCATCTACTGCATTATAACTCCTGGTTAAATTAATGGTGAATGAGAGGTGCTTCGGTGTTGATAAATAGTAAAGAAAAGCCAAAAGAAGAATTCTCAGGCCGACTGTCCTCAGCACTGGACGAGGAAAGGCTGATGTAGTTCTAGAGGACGCTTTTCCTTTGTTATTTAACACTGGATGCAACACCAAGTAAAGGACTGGGCAGGAGTGTGCCTGGGATTCAGTATAACCTATTACTGCTTTGTATCAGTATCCAAGTACCTGCTGAGTTTTTACCTGGAGAGAGCGAGGCCCTTATTCGAATGGTATCTGCTCTTCTACTTGGTGACCTTGGGCAGGTTGGCTGGCTAGCGTGTTTCCCAGTCTAAAATGAGAATGATGATATATGCCATAAACCACTCATGAGGTTGTTGAAAAGCTGAAATAAAACGTCCCAAAAGAACCACAAAAAAATGTGAAGTGCTGCCTGGGAGGTGATGAAGCATCAGAGTCGATGGTTCTCGACAACAATCAAATTGGTTATTTCTCTTATTTATGGATGTTTTTGGCAACCCCTTTTCTACGAGATGGTCCAGATCTAAACTTCAGGGCAAATTATATTAAATTTACCCCATATTCTATTTGAAATATAATATGAAATAAAGAAAAAGCTCTTAGAGATGTTTGCTGCAGCATTGTTTATGTCTGAAAACAATATAAGTCTCCAACTGTAGGAGAATGGTTAAATAAATTTTAAATCACCCATAAAATGAAATTATGTAGTTGAATTTATTTATGCAACATTTATAATGATACTATACATATTAATGAAGAGCTTTTAATGATTTGTTTCTAGCATACTGTTTCATAAATGTAAAAATGCTTAGGAAAAAATCCATACCGATACCGTGAAATGTCAGTAATTTTCTTTTGAGGGCTAAGAATATGTGTATTTCTTTAAACATATGTGTACTTTAATCTTAAGAATTGCCACAGGTGCTAAATAAGGGAAGCTTGAGGAAACAAGCTTGGATCACATTTGGAAAACATGATTATTTTTAATGTCAACAAGGGCTTTTTAAATGGCTATTATGTGATTATGCATGTATAACTCTGTATAGGGTATATATATATGGATTAGACTTCGCAATTTGAGAGACAGTGCTCACAATCTTATATAAGTAGTAAAAAGAATTTTAACCTGCAGAGGGTGAAGAAGCAGTGGTTTTTTACAGCATAGGGTATTAAATGTGGTCTTTGTTCTCTCTGCTCCAGGTGCTGATAGTCTGCAGCACAGGTTTGGCTGGGATTATGCTGCTCAACCACCAGCAAGATTACACAGTCTGGGTGCTGCCTCTGATCATCGTCTGCCTCTTTGCTTTCCTAGTCGCTCATTGCTTCCTGTCCATTTATGAAATGGTAGTGGATGTATTGTTCTTGTGTTTTGCCATCGATACAAAATACAATGATGGGAGCCCTGGCCGAGAATTCTATATGGATAAAGTACTGATGGTGAGTATTTCAGATGCTCTCCACTGCTTTAGGGATAAAAGTAGCAACAGAATGAAACCTGCCACACTCATGAATGAGGTCAGTCTTGGGGCAACCAGCGAAGAAGGACCTCTTAGCATGGGTGTCACCATTTCAAGTGCTCGTAGAGCAACGCCTTTTAAGAGGCCTGAGTTCACACTATTTGGTGATCCTGCTGCCCCCACTCTCTGCAGTTAGATGGATTTGAATTGACTTTGTAGACCTGTCTTTTAGCCCTTCAGTGAGGACCTTGGACCACTGCTGTTCTAAGTGCCCTTTCCTGAAGTGGGGCTCAACAACAAAGAGCCTTATTTCCTGGACGGTAGTTAGTACCCACCTGTGTTTCTCTATCCACCACCTTTCCAAGTATTATTGCGGCCAACCCCATTAAAACTCATTATCTGAAAGATGCCGGGCTAAACTGGAGGTATTTTGTGATGAATATAAATTAACAGACCTATGACTGGCAGATTGCATTATTTTATATTATTCCAGGTTTGAACCTTTACATGGGGATTATGTTCCGATTCTTTACAGTTATGTGGCCTCTGCAGTTTTTCTATATTAGAACCTCAAACTTTTTAAAAATTAAAAAAAACTATATTAAAATGGCTTATTTAAGCCATCATCAGTGTCATATGCTACAAAATTAAAGATGCCTTTGAGTAGTAATACTGGCTATTAAGCTGTGAAATATTTCTATCTTAGGAGTGGATAATATTGAAGACTAAACATTAGATATATTGCAATCATTTATCTTCAGAAACATGGTTTTAAATTAAATTTATTCATTTAAAATAAATGTGTTAATAAATAGACTAGATTCTTTTTTTTTCAATTGCAAAAATACCAAATGAGTTAACTGACCTATTTGGTATTAACACATCATCAACTAAATTTTGGACATTTTCATAATGTCTAAAGTATAATTCTAACTGATTATTTTCACAATGGAATTTGGCCCATGATAATAGCATCTCTTTTGGGATTAGGGCATTTAGGAGAAGAGTTTATATTTGTTTTTAAGCCATTGATCAAAAGCAGAGTAAAAGTACTGCTTCGCTTTCATTTTCTCTATAAGAATGATGAGGACTCTATTGAAGAGTTTAATGAAGAAGCACTCTATGAGCTTCAACTGCATAGAAACATTTCCTTAGGGGCTTAAGTCCACCTTCAGTACTTCTGACCACAGGTTCTGGTTGTTACTCCATCTTCCTCCTTTATGGGGTAATTTCAAGTCCAGATAGACTTTTTTTAAAGTAACTTACTTATAGTTTGGTAAAAACAGCATTTTGTACTCAGTCGTATCAATGCTTTCTTTTACCTTCTAGGGCTATTTTAGAGAGAAGGCTATGGAGTAAAATGTTCTTGTTGTTCCGTTTAACCATGATCGGAACAACAAGCGAAAAGTAAATCAACAAATAAAAGTATATTCTAAATACAGGAAAATAGTCTTTCTTTTTTTAAGTTAGGTATTTTCTCTTTGGCTATTACCTCAACATTATTATAAGTGAGATTGTCACAGTGAATGGATGGAGAAAAGATTTTATATCAACAGATTGCTGTTTTTTTTTCTCACAAATTTAGCCCCTCTTGCATCTGATACTGAATATTCTTATTGCTGTGGTTTTAGGCCATCCATTTATCAATATTGAGTCAAATATGCGACTATTCTTTAGAATTTCTCTACCATCCGAAATGTGAAAGAACCTAAGAATCTATGCCCTCTGGTCCCTATTTTGCAGGAGTTTGTGGAAAACAGTAGGAAAGCAATGAAAGAAGCTGGCAAGGGAGGCGTGGCCGACGCCAGAGAGCTAAAACCGATGGTAGGTGGAGATGAGGAGGCGGCCGCCCTCCAAGAATTTCACTTTCACTTCCTCTCTCTCTCTGTCTTCACTGACTGCACTTCTTCCGGAGAAGCTTTTGTTGTCTGTATCACGCAGGACGTGCTGCTCTTTCTGTTTGTGTGTTTACCCATCAATTGGATGGCTGAATTTTTATCACAGTTGAAACCACCTTCTGTAAAAGTAAGCTGAAAGGAACACAGCATTGTCACAAGGCAGAGTGGTCATGGCAGCGAAGGGGATATTCTTGTCCCTAAGGTGAAATTGCTGGGTTTTTTTTTTTTTCTTTTTGACTGTCAGTGGCTAGTTTTCATTGGGCTGAATGTCTGGCTGTGTGTTTAAACTGACGGTTTGATTCTTATCATTTGGAAGGTGATAATGGCAATTCCTTTCAACTTGCTAAAATCCATATTCCCTCATTTTTAAACATTGGTTTGTTTATGTTGCTGTCTTCTCCCCTTTGCTGACTTTTTCTTTTGTTGCCTGGATTGTACTTTCTTTGTTTCTTAAGCTATTTTTCAGTAGCAAACAAATCTGTTTTCATCAACACCCACATTTCCCACTAAATAAGACAGCCTGGTCTTCACCACCCTCAGCTGGATTGTAAGAAGGATAAATTACCTCTGGTCAGTGATGCATATATTCCACTTTTATTCAAAAAAAAAAAAAGCAACTTCTCAGTGTAGGAGAATCCGGAGCTGCTTTTCCCATAGATGCCTCATCACCACCTAACAACAGATGTCTCTAACATATATTCATCTAATTACTACTTATTTTATGAATGTATTATTTTTAAGTGGCATGTTTATTTCAAAATATTCTATCATTGCTTATATCTGTAAACAGTTCATTTTAAATACTGCAACTTCTAATTGCATATCATGTCCAAAGTATAAGGTAAAGACTTTCTCTTCTTCTTTACACTATAACAAATGGTTTGATTCATCATTTTCCAACTTAAGAAATATAGAGAACTAGCCCACTGAAGTTTTTAAGAGTAAAGGAAATGGGTTCCATTAAGGGGAGTGAGAGAGACCATAAATGTATATGGAAAATAACTGCAGAACCAACTTAAATTAGAGTCTCAGCAGAATGTCCAGACAGAAACCCTTTCCTTTGTAAACCCGTTCAGTACATATATTGCTGGTGCTCTTAATAGTTTTGATGATAATAAAGTAAAATATCAATGTTCAGATTCCCAAAGCACAGATCACTCTAATCATAAGTAAAAAGATGTAGACAATGGTATGGCCCTTAGTTTAATGTGTGCATTAGCTGGAACTGGATTGGGTGGGCAAGGGACGCCATTCAGCAGTCCCTCCTGTCAGGTGCCTTGCCTCCTCCCCCTTCTTTCTGAACCTGTCTTACGTCATGCAGGCCAGGGTGGCAGCGTTGAGGGTTTCCATGCCCTACAGTGGCATGGAAAAGTGAGGAAGACTCCTTTCTTGCTGCTGCTTCGTTGTCTTAATTATTCAGGAACTCAGGTTCCAAGCCTGAGACTTAGAAAGGATATAGAAAATCTTAAAATGTAAACCATCTTTTCCCCCCTTTTCTTTCTGTCTAGTGGTGGAAGCTTTCATTAAATTATTGCGCAGTAATATGCATTTAAAGGAAGGGAGAACTATTTGGAGATTTAGGACTCACTAGTTTGACCACGAATTGGCATGTAGTTCTGTATTCTTAAGGCAAAGGCAAATGTATTGTGGTAGACCAGAATGAAGTGTACCTTCTCTTACCTAAACCCCCAATTCATAATTAACACTAGGAGAATTGCCCAGGTTATGTGGCATTTTACCAGAAGCCATGCAATTTAGAAAGATTTTATCCTAATATTGCTTTCCCTTAACTCAAACAATGCATTAAAATCTTCATTCAGTCTTCAGTTTAATGTCTTTGTTATTCATCAGTTCATTGCTTGGCAATGAACGGCAAGTCCCAAATACCTCTTCTGTGTGCATTTTTCTTCTGGAGCTTTGGACATGGAGCATTTGGTACCTAAGAATAATGTTTTTTAAGGGGTTAAAAAACTCTTTAGGAGAGAAGAGTGAAATGTTGCTCAGAGGGTAGTTAAAATTTTTAAGCACATGGTCCCTCTAATTCTTATCTCTTTTCTACAGTATGCATGGTAAGAGTTGACCCCTACTATTGTGTATGTGTCCCTAAAGAATTACCTGAGAAACTTCCCCCTAAAGTTTGGGAATTGGTAGGATTCATATTGCTTCTTTGTATTTGCTCGGTCCAAGTCACGTTATTCCCATAGATGAAAGTTCTTTAAAGCATGTCATACCTAGTTTGCCGTATCTGTAGAGACACTACTGTTTGAATTCGCCGTCTGCCTTCCTCCTCAATGGAATATTTTAATTTAGGGTTTATTTTTAGCCTATAAAATAATGTTCAGGAAAATGAGGTTTTACATTTTCCTTTTGACAGGGGGATCATTGAACTGGATATAAATATTCCCAGTTCTCCTCTTGGACATTTTTTTTTGATAGATTCTACTAGTTAAGGAAACTTTAAAGGTTTGTGAGGCCTCTCTGCAAATGTTTGAAGATGATTTAGAAAAATTTACCAAATGTGATATAGAGGTTTAAGAAAGAGACATCTGGCCACCTGCTTATACAGGAGAAAAATCTACAGAGGAAAGGGAGGAAAACCCTGGCCACTATAGCGTCTTAGACCAGAGAAGTATTCTCTGCGTATCTCGAAGGTTATCCAACCAGCAATGTGATTGCCACCGTCCACACAAATTCCAGCCCCTGCAAATAGTTTCAGGGGAGAAGGATTCTCAGTTCATTTCGCGTTGTTGCTGTTTGTGACTGTCCCTCAGTGTATTTGTAACGTCATGCATAATCTCCTTCTAATGGTAATTGTCTAAGATTATACTCTGTATGACTTTGTTTTCTAGGCTTCGGGAGCAAGTTCCGCTTGAACCTAGCTGGCCGTGTGGAACCAATTGACATTCCAAAACAATATATACACATAACTATGTATCTGTGTGTGTGGGCGTGTGTATATATGTATATGTATGTGTGTATGTATATGTATATACACACACACACATAATCAGCCAAAATCAGAGAAAAGGAACAGGGATTTAATACCTTTTTTACGCTTATTTTTGTCGAACATGTACCCCTTTCATACGGGTGGCTTTTACAAGGCAACTGCCGTCATTTAATGTTTTCAATTGTAATTGTCTTAATGGAAATGTTAAGATTCATATCTGATTAACATTTTTAATAACTTAGAGGAGATTTTTAACTTTAGTTATTTAAATGAGGTAAAATTATTGTACCGAATTCTCTGTCTAAAGGGTATCAGGGGTGAGTTCCCTGATGTGTACATAAAATCAAGATCCTATTTCACTGCAGCGTAATTGCTAGTGGGATGTGACTAGGCATATGCTGTCAGGGAAATAAGGAATTACTCCAATCAGTTCTCCCCAATCAAAGAAGCCATGTCATTTTTATTTTTAAAAACACACAAGTGGGCCCAGTATGGGAAGTTTCATAACTGCTCACTCATGCATTTGTCAGCCAACATTAAAAAGTAACCAACTCCTCAGGTATTTGTAGTTTACCCTAACGCTTCTATAAGAGAGTAGGTAAAAAAGAATAGGGTAGATAATCTTTCTTATGCAAACTTTTTTCTTATGGTTCGTCTTTCATTTTTGTCTTTAGTAGCATCTCTCACACATTTTGTGCCTGATTTGAAAGGAAGCTGGAGCACCCCATGAGTATAGTCTATGCGTTCCTGCATATTGATCTGCAGATAAAGTAAAGCTGGGCAGGATAAGGAAGGGAGAGACGCATGCAACACAGAGCATTGAAAAGTCCAGCTGTGGGCTTCTGCTCCAGAGGGACATGAGTGGGTCAGGGCTGAAGAGCCATTTTATTCAAACACTTGCTATGAAATTTGAAAGCGCACTGGCAGGTGCTCCTCTCCTTGGCCATTCATGAAGTATCCAGAGTTCTACAATGTTTAACTGAAGAATTGATCAATGTCCTGATCCTCAAGTGTTGAACCTTTTTGTTTGTTTGTTTGTTTGTTTGGGGCTGGGTTACTGGTTGTTTTTTTTTAATTATTATTCCTGAAGCTTACCAGATATGAATGGCTAATATTCCATTGTTCTGCTTGTTGTAATGGTGAATGCTTTAAGAAAAAAAAGTGTAATTTGCTAAGAATAATTCATGATCTGTTTATGCGATAACTCCTTTTTGTTACAATTTTTTTAAAAAAAGGCTATTTTTGTTAATGTAAAGTAACTATTTCAGAGCAAATTTTTTAAACTTATTGCACTAAATACAGGCTCTGTACAAAAAAAAAAAAAGCCTCAGCATTTTATCATTCCATGGAAGGACACTCTTTTGAAAGAAAACATTGCTTCCTACCAGAATGAGGCAGCGAATTAGACCAGTGTATTAGGGAGATGCGTACAATTAATGTCAGTAGGGCTTACTGGGCAGCTGTTTGCTAATGCGCTTCCTTTCAAAGGGTTGGACCTTTAAATTGCTGCAAAAGGTAAATTGTATTTTTTTTAAGTATTCGTGTTCTTTAGCTAGGCTAAACTTTGCTAAATGCCTTGGTTTCTTTTCAAAGCTCATGTAATATTTCTGACTTTTCAGAATATCTGCAATAAGAGTCTGAATTTTTTTTTTAAAGAAAACACACAGTTAAGAGCTCATGTCTTGGCAAAATCTGGGAAACCAACATTGTGAAAGTAGCTATTCTGAAACAATAATTCTCCAGAAGTTAACATCTAACACTGACAGACTGTATCATTGTACTCTTTTATATCAGTTGAAAGGAATAAACGTAATTATGTAACTAACAATTATCCAAATAGGTGAGAGAGCAAATCATCTGAGAAAATTCAGAATCCCTTCTGTTCCATAACCACAGGAATTTTGGACATTAAGAAACATTGGGAACTAAATTTAGGACTGGCAAAAAGCTGGAAGATGGGTATCAAAACAGAAGACATTCCAGGAGCTAGCTCTTTTAGGAGGTGTCCCTCCAAAGCGACCTGATGGAAGTCCTGAATTTGGAAATTAGGTCCTACTCACTTGGACAAGCCAGCATCATGGACTCATGCTGCTCCCTGTTCCAAATGCTCACAATCTCAACTATTTGGAAGCCACCAGGAATGCTTTCTAATGATCATTTGCAACTAGAACTGTAATCGGAAAGAAATTTTGTATTTTTGTATAACTCGACTGTGTGCCATTTTATATGACAGGTCCTGTTTTACAAATAAATTTTGTTTTACTAACATGGTGTTTAGAAACTATGATCTATGTGTAACCATGTCATTTGAGTTCCAAATTAATGGCCAGGCTGTTTCCTGGAGTGAACTTGTGTGCCGTATCGGTAGATAGGTGCCGATACTCATACATCATATACAGGCACACACGGAGCTATTCGATATATGTAGTATCACTCTCATATGAGCTGCATTCTCTGATTTGTTTTATAAAGCCTCACACGGGCTTTTTTTTTTACAGCAGCATTTAAATGCTTTGAGGTTATGTTTGGATACTCCTGCTGCCTCTCTCATCCATTGCGAGTCATTCCTCAGCTAGCTGTGGGCTGGCTGCCTTGTTGCTATTTACTCACTGCCTCCATCTTCTGCCCAAGTGGGAAGAATAGATGAAAAACAAAAATTACCTGTGAAATGGGGCTACCCGAATAATTTTATAAACCACTGACTCAGTGTTGTGGTCTTGTGTCTCTTCCTGTGGCGGATCTTCACAGCTGCATCCAGGACTCACCTTCACGTCCTCTACTGTGAATCATGGCCATGGTAACGGCAGTGCTGTTGTGGTTCCTGCCACCAGATCATCAAGGCTCCGGTGCGTGATGTGGAGCTCCTAGGCTCCTGCCTCCAGAGTAAGCTCTGCTGTCATATAGTACGGAAGGGAAAACATTACCTTTCTGTATAAATTTAAGGAGACCCATCTTTTATGGGAAACTTACCAGTGCTTCCAGCAAATGTTAGGAATTTAGGGCATTGAGATTGTATAATCCTTGCATGGATGAGCAGAGCTCAGAGAAGGTTGTTGCTTTAAACTGTTTAATGCAATGCTTAACATGTAGGGTGGAAGCCTTTATGTCATCCTGTAGCATAATTAAGTCCTACATTATTGCGGTGTGAGTGGCTTAGCTGTGTGTTGGTCCTCACCTTTTTCCATCGCGGTTAAGGAAGAGGTAGTCACTGAGTCTATTAAAAAAATTATCCTGGATAAAAGTCTTTCCTTTGTAAAGATGCTTTGCTTTCCTTCCTTCCTTCCTTCCTTCCTTCCTTCCTTCCTTCCTTCCTTCCTTCCTTCCTTCCTTCCTTCCTTCCTTCCTTCCTTCTCTTTCCTTTCCTTTCTTTCTTTCTTTCTTTCTTTCTTTCTTTCTTTCTTTCTTTCTTTCTTTCTTTCTTTCTTTCTTTCTTTCTTCCTTTCTTCCTTTCTTCCTTTCTTCCTTTCTTCCTTTTCTCTTTTCTTTCTTTGTCAGCAAAGGTCATTAAGCTGCCACTTCCTAACACCACTGGCCTTGGTATGTACCAAGGGCTCCCTTGTCTTCCTAGGGCAGTTACAGGAGCAGCGAGGAAGTGGCCCCTTCCTTTACGCTGGTCCCGAGCTGCTTTAAACCAGAGTAATACTTCCCTCACCTGCTTCCTCAGAACAACTAAGGGAACTGCAGGCGCCAAATACGAGTGAGGCCACATCATTGCCCCTGAGGCTTCAACCACTTTCCAGATGCACCACTACTAGCTACTAAAGGCCATTTCAGGAGGTAGCCCTCCCTCATCTGCAGGGTAGAATTGCGGGGTCAGCTCCCAAACTGGAGCTGCCAATTATAATGACCTGAACATTATTTTGGTTTTGGTCAGTTACCTTCTCATTTGAATTCTGGGGATTTCCAGCAGCCTTTAACAGAGCCTCTGAGAAGTTATCTTCAGAAAGGTCTTTCAACTTTCACCTTTCAGTGAGTAAGTTCTCCACTGCTTTTTTACTGCAACTTCAAAAACATCCCGAGGCTTATCAGTGTATCTGCCACAGTTAATTTCTGTGCTGTTTTCATATATTCCATCTGACAGACAGGAGTGCACTGTAATGGCTTGCCTCGAGTTAAGACATGGTCCTTGAATACATATTGGAAAATTGTGAGTTTGTAAGTAAATGCATAAAGCAGAAGCTTGTGTATTATATATTCATAGCATAGAATGCCTTTTGCTTTAAATGCATATTCATGTACCTTGTGTACTAGGGATGCATGTTAGCCCCTCTGAAAAGTGGGCACCATTCAGATGCAGCGGCTGCTTTTGGAATTAGCTCATCTTTGTTCAGTGGCATGCAGCCCAAGTTCTGAAAAAGCAGCCTCAACCGGGCCAAGAGAAAAATCTAAAGCTAACAAACCTAACAACAGAATGAAAGGCTAATCATGTTGTATACGCATATACATTTAAAGTGAGTATACTTTCTCCCATTCAGGTTCCATAAATTGGAGCCAAATTTTTATTCTCCAAGAGGAAACTTTGAATCTAAGATTTAAATTTTTGAAAACACCTCGCTTATAAAAATCTTTAATGCAGAGTTTTTAAACTTGAGCATTTCTGTGGCAAACCTTTCTTTTCTGCAGAAACCCCATCAGACTCTTCCTCCTCATCTTGACTTTTGTGTGTGTGAAACCAGACAAAGGGTGCTTCTAGTTCAGCATTGCAGGACAATGACCACTTTTGTAAATGACGCAGGCAGGATATATGTGTGATATTTTGTGAAGGAATTCATTGGTAAAATTGTGGAAAAGATAAATTGTTAGGGACCCAAATATTAGGCTCTTTTATTCAGTTTTACAACTTATGTGATTTCCTGAGGGATAAACACTCCAGACTAGAGGGT